ATCCAAGGTATCTGTAGGCAGATTTCCCAAAAGTCCCTAAGCAAAAAAAAAAAAAAAAAAAAAGGTTAGGTTCGATGTATTTAATGTTTTACATGAATTTACAATTGAGAAGCTTATAGAATAGTTTATTTAAATTAAGGTATCTGAGAAAATTATCAATATGCGGTTAGATTCAATTTGATTCAATTTTGATAGATAAATTAAAAGTGACCATTTTAACGATTTTAGGGTATTTTGAGGTTAGGGCGAAACCAGGACCCATTGGCCAAATTCTGATGGCAGATTCGGATTCAGCGAATCGAAATACATCGGAATACATATGTCTCGACCCCAGATCAAGACACTTTATTTTTTTGTGTGGCTGTGTTATTCTTTCAGACAACTTTTCTGGCTCCTGTACTACAGACATTTCCATTATTATTCGACTGATGTTAAAGGTTTCCTACTTACTTTTAATAAATCTCAAAATGCAGGCTGTAGTTTTAACTAAACAAATTAAAACGGTTGTTCTAAGAAGCATGTACAAAAAGTCCTGTAAAATAACAAGAACCTTAGAAACCTTTGTAATTTTTGGAATTATAGCTTTAACATTGTGATGTGCAAATATGCGTATATTTATAATATCTTCTTTCTTCAACTGAAACACCGTGGTGAGATATGTCTGCATCCAAAATTCAGCCCCACTTTTTTGTAACTGCAATCTGCGATTTCTTTCCTTTACACCTCTTATAATAACAATTTGTGGTAAGAAATTCATTACTTGAGACAAAATTTTAACAATTTTTGCCATGGAAGACCTTCTGATGTTTAAAGCCATAAGTGAAAAAATTTAAATCTTTATAGGATATTCATGCAAATTTTTTAATTTATTCGGAAACCAGCGACTTCTTGATGAGACTGAACAAGAAAAATACTTCCTTGTGAACGGATTTAGACGTATTAAGACTGGTAATTTGTTGTTTTTTCAGCAAGCAACACATACTCTCTTTGATCATAAGGCAAAATAGTTACATCTAAAAAATCATGTTTTCACAGAGATTGCAAATATTTATGTTCTTGCACTGAACTCAAGTTGCTAAAATGTACTAGTAAACATCTTAGTAGTGATGATCTCTGTGATACCACTCTAATGTTTTTCATTGCCATATATAACTTGTCTGTCGATTTTTTACTATCCGTATCTTTTTGTAATACAAACAATGTTGTTCTTCTTGATCATGCAAGAAATTGCAAATATTTCTTTGATTGTGAGCCGTACCTTTTATTAATGCTGATACTTAAAGAAGGTAAGCGTTTAGTAATTGATTTTACAAGAGAATTAATTTCTGGTTCTGTGTTACCTACTTTATCTTTAAGGATGAACACTACCTGATGCAGCTTCGACTCTTTCTCTGGATACCTTATTAAACCGTTATAGTAATTTTTGGGTTCGTATCCCACCATGCCCCCGATTTTTTCCTAATTCTTTGATATTTTAAAATTTATTAATTAATTTTGAAAAATTATTTTTCAAGAAGGCAGGTTTCTGTATTTTAGACAGCAATGTTTCCTGAATAAATTTTTTCCGTGTGGTATAGTGGTTAGTGTATTCGATTTCAGTGCGTCATAATGTTAGGTATAGGTGTAGGTTCAAATCCCCAAGCGTTAGAAATTTTAAGTTAATGTAAATAAAATTGCGATAGGTAAATCGAAAAATAGGTTGAATGTACCATAAAATAATAATAATTAATATGTGTAACTTGTATAATTATTTTTTAATAATAATATTCACTAAATTGTCCAGACTAATTTTTGACTGTTTCGGACTAATTCCGGATTCACTAGTTGTATACAAACCTTATTGATTTTAGATTTATCCGGACTAATTCCGGATGACAAAAACCTGACAATAAACTACACTGTTTCGGATAAATTCCGGATTCACTAGTTAAAGTTAACTGACTAATTTCGGACTTCATCGGACCAACTCCGGATTCACTAGTTGTTCACAAACCGTATAGAGTTCGGATTTATCCGGATTAATTTCGGGTGACAAAAACCTGACCATAAACCGCACTGTTTCGGACAAATTTCGGATTAGTCCGAAATCTATCTGGTTTTTTAACCAGGGAACTGTTAGTAGCATATTATCCAGAAATTTAAGAGATCATCGAACACCGTTAACCACCAAAGAATAACATTTTTCTACATTCAAGCGGAATACTTTTGTTTTGAGAGGAAAAATTGTGAGGATAGGGTAACGGGTACAGTCACGGACACCCAGCCATTGAACGACACCCCCAATTAATAAATCACAATAAATATATAACAAAACATTATTAATGTATATTTTAAAAATGTTAATATTATAAAATGCAATTTTTGGAAGCTATTAAAATAGTAGCAATATTAATTTCGTTTATATTTCGGATAAAATTTTAATTTCTGTGACGATAACCTTAAAATCCACTTTTTGAGGTTATCTTCACACAAAGTAAAATGTTGTAAAAAATAAATTAAATAATGCTACTACACGGAGAAAATTTCTTTCGTAATGATTACAATAGTCTATATTACAGCTCGGATATGTGACCACTTTTTGTAATGATTATGAAAACTATGTAATTTATTAAGAATTTAGTAGGAGCGATTACTATAGTTATTTTAATGAATCTAAACACTGTATTAATCGTGTTGAAATTTATTTTTTGGAATCATTAATAGTTTAGATGTACAGGTTCAGAAAGGGTACTGTAGGCATTCACGCAGAGACTTGTTATAATTACAATAGTCTACGTTAAAAGCAAATCTTGGATTCTGTTCACATTTGCAGCGGTCTAAGGGAATCAGTGATACAGACTGTAGTAGCCTTTACAACAGGACTATTGTAAAATAAGGTGACCGCGGCTGCCTTGCCTTCTTATTTTACTATAGTTCTTCGTAAAGACTACTATTGCTATATTTCTGATTACAAATGACTGTTGTAAAGTAAAAAAGAGAATTTTCAACTAAAATAATTTTTTTTGTGATTTATGACTTGCGTAAAGTACGTAAGTTACCTAATTAGTGCAATTTACAATAATTCGTCCATTACGTAACTTAAGTTATTTACGTAAGTGCAACTTACGTTATTTACGTAACTTATATTTTTACGTAGCATACATTATTTACGCAACTTATATTTTACGTAACTTACGTAAGCTAACTTATTTATTTATATAACTTACTTTTGTTATTTACGTAACTTGCGTAAGATATGTAACTTACGTAAGTTGTGTAAATTATATAACAATTTATACAGGCAAGAAATCTTTTACCTCCGGTGCGTGTGTTAGAAAAAAAAATTTTCACTATGGAAATGTAATAAAAAATAGACCTTACAATATTAAAGACTAACAATGAACAATAATTGTATTAATTATTGAGAACGAAGTGATTTTTTTACGTTTAAAGGGTATAAGTCTTTCTCGCAAGCGGTGAACTTTCATAGCAGTTAGTATATAAGGAAGTTTAAGTCATGTATAAATATGTGTAAATAGCGATCATTATTATGTTATGCGTTTAGTTTTTAAGTTAGATTTATATACTTAGGGTTTAGTGAAATTGTCTAGTTTAATAATATAATTAATCTTGAAGTGGGTAGTCTTGGAAGAGTGAAATTAATGTGCAGTACATGATTAGAAGTCATGAATTACAAAAAATTTTTATTTTAGTTGAAAATTTTCTTTTTTAACTTTACAACAGTCATTTGTAATCAGAAATATAGCAATAGTAGTCTTTACGAAGAACTATAGTAAAATAAGAAGGCAAGGCAACCGCGGTCACCTTATTTTACAATAGTTCTGTTGTAAAGACTACTACAGACTGTATCACTGATTCCCTTAGATTGCTGCAAATGTGGATAGAATCCAAGATTTCCTTTTAACGTAGCCTATTGTAATGAGTCACATAGACTTTGTGCTAACTCATATTTAGTTCGTATTTATTTTAAATAAATTTTTAATGAGTACGTTCGACTTACAGAATTGTTACAACGAAGCTACTTTAGGCATTACGAAAAGTGGTCACATATCCGAGCAGTGCTGTTCGACTATTGTAATCATTAACAGAAAATTTTTCTCCGTGTACTTTAATAGCTTCCTAATATTGTATTTTATAATGTTAATATTTTTAAAATGTGCATTAATAATGTTTTCATCACACATGCACAAAAATGGCGCTTTTAGATATCTGACGACAGGACGGAAAGTCATTTATTTGTTCGACCGTATAAAAATGGCGTTCAATTTTTTCCTAGGACAAAAAAACAGCTGTTCCCATGTGTTATTTTTGTCCTTGGAAAAAAATGAACGCCATTTACATGCAAGTCGAACAATTGAATGATTTTTACTGCCTGTCGCCTGCTGTCTGAAATCGTCACTTTCATGCATTTGGAATAAAAAGTATCGTAAGTAACACCCCTCGACCTCCACTCGTGTCACAAAAATCACCGTAAAAAATGGCTGCCTTTGTCTCCTTGTTTCTTAATATACTATTTGTTTTATATTTATTTTGATTTTTAATTGTGGGTGTCGTTCACTGTCAGGGTGTTGGTCACTGTACTCGTTACCCTATTAGAAGAGGATTTTTTCAGTAATTATGATATTAATTTTTTAGGGTGTAGTATAAATGCGAATAAAATTAAAAAAATTTTATTCTAATTTAAATCTCCCTTTTTGAAAATACCACTATCTTCAATATACACAAAAAAATAAATTTTTCAGGGGTTTCGACCTTTTTTTCGCAAATAAAATTTAATTTATCGCTGCTTGCTAACTATTTACTGTCACTACTGCTACATGCTTATTTCTGTAAAGATAGAATTTCCAAAAACTTCATGTCAAGAGTACCACCTAATTTGTTGTATCGAAGCAAAATTAAAAATTTCACTAAAACTTCGTTTCTTTAAAAACAATATAATATTTCTCTTAATTGCTTTACTAACCTAAATCCAGACAGACTCATTAAATTGTTCAATCTAGGTGTGTTGCCGCCGGGCGAAAATGTTCCAGGTGAGACACTTTTGGTTGTACCTCCAATCAATGGAACTGTTATGGAAGGTGAGCCTGTATCATTTGAATGCATTGCGAAAGATTCCTCGTCAATTGTCGCTTGGTTTCACGAAGGTGTTGAGATTTCGGAAATAAAGGTAAAGCATATGAAAGAAAAAATAATTCCACTAAATGAAACATTTCTATATTCAATCTTTTAATAAATTCAGGCTCTCAAACTCCGCGCGTCAGTTGATAATAATGGAACATTGACAATGAAACCAACGGACATGGGTGATTTAGGGGAATACACTTGTGTTGTTAGTAATGATCAAGGAGAACAGCAAAGTGCATCTGCTTATCTTAATGTACAATGTAAATTGTCTAATTTCTTAATATAAAAAACAATATGTTTAATAATTTTGATTTTGATAATTTCACTGGTTTCCAGATAAAGCAAAAGTAATATATGCTCCCCGAGAAGTATTTTTGCCATACGGGAAACATGCAATTTTAGATTGTCATTTTAGAGCGAATCCACCGCTAACGAATCTACGTTGGGAGAAAGATGGATTTCTTTTTGATCCATACAATGTACAAGGCGTATTTTATAGAAGAAATGGCTCCTTGTACTTTAGCAAAGTTGATGAAAGTCATGCTGGAAGTTATAGCTGCACACCCTACAATGATCTTGGAACAGAAGGTTCCAGTTCTCCTATCAATGTGGTAAGTACCTATATTTAGATTTAAGTAGACATTTAATTATAATTGAAATCATTTTCAAGGAGGTATGATTGATTCACAAAATAATGTGTCATTAACATACATAACATCTATTCACATAACAATAAGTATCAAGTCGTTTTCTACATCAACCTTCAAGCTGTTGTCTATTCGAAGGGGGGAGATTTATCTGACTGTTATGAAGAGCTTTAGGGATGGATTTTTTTTAAATTGTAGGTCTCACGTGCGGACATAATATGTATGAGAAAGCACTGTTCTAAGTTTTACCAGAAGATAGGACTGTATCACACTATAAGGTATCGTTTTGAGCCCCTATTGAACATTTCTTGTCCATATTAACCGGAGATATTAAACTTTTAAAAATCTAAAATTTTTGAAAATAAGACTTTTTTGAAAATTTTGTTGAAAAGTATAGAAGCAGCTTTAAAAGTATCGTTACCTGCTTATAGAGCATTAAGAAACGCTTTAATCGACCTATTTTTGAACCTGATTTGATCATAAATTTCGAAATTATTGACATTTTAAAAACCAAAAATTGTGCAAAATGACATTTTCTCAACTTTTTTATTTGGAAACTTTTCTTTAACTATTAAACTATTATAACTATCTTGTAGGGTATTTAAAAATACATTAATTGACTCAAGATTCAATCACTTTTACCATATTTATAAAAAGTTATTCATATATTTAATTTATTATTATCCCTATGAAGAAGCAAAGTGTTCATGAAATGAGCACTAAAAATATAACAAAAATATTCAACTTGGCAACGGTTTTTACTTAATATGATCTATATTTTCTAAATTATTGTATTTTTAATGTTTGTCCTCGTGGTTTTATCTAGGACATAGTAAATAAATTCTAATTACATATCGATGGCTCCTAAATGAAAACACATTATTCGCGAGAGAAATTATAAAACACGTAACTCACGAAAAAAAATAGAAAAAGCGTTATTGATCTGAAATATTTTTTTGGATAATTTTTAAAAATTTTATCATTTATTTTAAGACAATATAAAATGCCAAATAAAGAATTTTTATTATTTAAAGTTAATTTAGCTTTAATAAAACAATTTTATAAACTTATATTTTTGCAATTTGTTTACACTTTAAAAATAATAAATATTAAAAATTGTAACATAGCCTTCAAAAAACTGTCATTTTAAATAAGCATGTTTTATATTTGTTTTCGTGAGTTATCTATTTTATAAACGCTTTCGCGAATAATATGTTTTCATTTAGGAGCCATCGATATAATAAATACATAATGAGACATCCGTTTAAGGGGGAGTGACACCTTTAACCCGAAAAAATTAGTATATTACGATACTATGCCAGAAAGTTGGATTTCCTGGCCGGCTTTATATACCACGCTCGGCTGGGCATCCAAATTTCTGTCCGTGTGTCGTATTGGGAATTGACATAGAGGCGTGGCTTATTCAATATGGCGGCTTATATATTCAAAAATAGTGCAAAATACACGTGTAATATCAAATTTTTTCCAAAATGCTAATTAAAATAGAAAATATTTTTGCTCTGTGTTTGTAAACGTCTAATTTGAAAGAACTTCCACATGAAATTAATAATTATTATTCATGTTGTCTTTTTCTTCATTTATTACAATTTATTTATAAATTTCATTTCGAGAAAAAACATGATTAAAATTTTGTTTACTGTAAGTTATGTAAAGCTAGTAATTCGTTCTAAAACTTCTTATCGGGATAATTGTTCAGTTCCTGGATGTAAAAGTAATGCAAAAAAATACTTATTAGTACCTCTACATAGATTTCCAAAACCAAATTATTGCATAATAGAAGTTGAATATTTTTTTGAAAAAATGGATAAATTAAAGGCTTGAAAAATCTCTGTAAAATTAAATTAAACACTTTTTTCTTGATTATAAAATCAAGAAAAAAGTGTGCTTTTTTGTTTTTTAATTATTTACATTTATTTACAGCTGAAAATTATTTTAGAGTAACCTATACTATATATACTACGCTCGCATGGGAGTTCAAATTCATAATAGAATTTATTAAGTGCCACGAAAAGAAATGACAAGAAACTAACACATCAGTGTAAACTATAATTTTAAAAAAGATAACTAATAATAGTAGTATAAAATCAAATTGACTGCAAAAGTAAATATTTTATTTACCATAAGTATTTACTTATGCACGGAGAGAGATTTTGTATTAATATTTGTTAAAATTGGCAATAGAATTTAATATATTCTTTTTCAATTTAGGGAAATCGTGTTTTATATTAAAAATTAATATTGTGCATATTAGTAGGCAGCCCTTAATATATTTTACAAAAATTAATAAAATTGTAATACAATTTAATAAAAGAATTATAATTTTTAAAAATGACTATATTAAAATCGCAGTCCGTGAAAGTATCGAAAGAATAAGAAAAATTGAAATAATTCTTTTAAATTTTAGAATAAAATACATATTTCCATCTTTAATATAGTCAATACTAAAAATTATGAGTGAGTCGAAAAGGACAGAAAATAAAAAGACGTAAGAAGGAGGAGGATAGAATTATCGTTTCGAAAGTATTTCGCACACACACAAATGAGCTAACGCAAGCATCATACTATACAACCCTACTAAAAATAAAATCAGGAATCGTCATGAATGTTCAGAATTTCTGAACATTCCTGAACAGTCTCACCACTTCTGACATTTTCTAACGTTTCTCACCATTCCTAACCAAATACTTTCCAAGCTCCTCCCACTTTACTCCCACCATTTTCGAAGCTGTGACCATTTCTGAAATTCCTGACCATTTCTGAAATTCTTGACTATTTCTGAAATGTGTGAACACATAACCTATAAAAACTTTGGTACATCTTTCTAATTTTGGTAAAGTCTCATGAAAATTTATATATACAAATCTTTCAAATTTATTTTTTACATTTCAGAATACATTATTCTATTATAAAAATTGTTCTTTTAACTTAACAAAAGTTCTCATTTTTCAAATTGGTATAATTATTGAATTAATTATACAGCAAAAGTAGGTAAATAAATCAAAACATTCGGACCATTCTTTTAAAATTATTTAATATATTTATGTAATGTATATTTATAATATATTAATTTAATATATGTATATTTATTTGTAATTATTTAATATAGTTAATTAATAATAAATTTTGTTTCATAATATTAGTAATTTACTATACCAGTCAGTACTTGTTATGAGAAGTATTTGGATTATAATTGAAATACAGTTATATTTAAATTATTATTAATCATTAATAGAATAATTTCTTACTATAATGATTATTAATAATTTAAATTTTAAATTTATAAAAATTTCAATATTGCATTAATAATTCATTATTATTATAAATTATAATGTTAAATTAAATTAATATTAAATACTAAATTCATTTTAAATGCAGATATAATAATAATTACACAGTGCAACATTTTTGAGGTCATCGAATGTGCACTAAGTTTTGACTTCAGTTTCTGAAAGTACTTATCGAAACTAGCAAAAAACTATTTCAGTTTTGCTAGATTAGCTCGGATTTGAATTTTATCGACATTTGAATTTTTTTTTGAATTTTCACATTTTTCAGTTTTTTGATACGGGCGGATGGGAACACTGGCTATTAAAAGTTTGTTAAAAAAATTCGCAATGGTCACAATTTAAAAAGCAATAATTTCTCTTTAATTACAGAGAAAGAAAAAAAATTTGGTCGAAAATTGTTCCAGTTACGAATTTTCTTTTGGCTTTTTTACATTTTTTGGTTTTAAGAAAAGGGCGGGTGAGAAAGCTGGCTATTAAACGATTATTAAAAAAAATTTCGCAGTGGTCACCATTTGAAGAGCAATAATTCCTCTTTAATTTCTGACATTGAAAAAAAAATTTGGTCGAAAATTATTTGAGTTATGAATTTTCTTTTGTAATTTTTCAAATTTTTCGGTTTTTCTAATACGAGAGGGTGGGAACGCTATCTATTAAAAGTTTATTACACAAAATTCCCAATTGTCATAATTTGAAATGCAATAATCGCTCTTTAAATTCTGATAAAGAAAAAAAAATTTGGTCAAAAATTGTTCGAGTTATTAATTTTCTTTTGACTTTTTCACATTTTTCGGTTTTTTGATAAAGCGGGTGGAAACGCTGGCTATTAGAAGTTTATAAAAAAAATTCGCAATGGTCACCATTTGAAGAGCAGTAATTCCAACCTAATTTCTGACATTGAAAAAAAAATTTGGTCGAAAATTGTTCAAGTTATGAATATTTTTCGTACTTTTTCAAATTTTTTTGTTTTTGATCCGGGCGGGTGAGAACGCTGGTTATTAAATTTTTCTTTTTTAAAAACGCAATGGTCACATTTTGGAGAGCAATACTTCCTCTTTAATTTCTGCCCAAGAAAAAAAATTTGGTCAAAAATTGTTCAAGTTATGAATTTTTTTTTACTTTTTTTTAATTTTCGGTTTTCTGATAACGGAAGTGGGAATACTGAATATTAAAAATTTATAAAAAGAATTCGTAATGGACACAATTTAAAGAGCAATAATCCCTATTTAATTTCTGCCCAAGATAAAATATTTGATTCGAAATATTTGGTTTCGAAAAAAGTAAAAAAAAATCAAAACCCTCGGTTGCACAGGACCGCGGGTATACAAATGTACAGAAATAAATAAATAACACGAATAATTTTCTACCAATTTTTTTTCTTTTATCAGAAATTAAAGAAGGATTATTGCATTTTAAAATTTGACCGTTGTGAATTTTTTTAATTCATTTCTAATAGCCAGCGTTCCCACCCGCCCGTATCAAAAAACTGAAAAATGTGAAAAAGTAAAAAAAAACCATAATTAGAACAATTTTTGACCAAATTTTCTTTCTTTGACAGAATTTGAAGAGGAATTATTGCTCTGCAAAATGTGACCATTGCGTTTTTAAAAAAGAAAAATTTAATAACCAGCGTTCTCACCCGCCCAGATCAAAAACAAA